TTTCCATACATTCTGTCTTCTTTGTGTTGAGCTTTAAGCCGTACGACCCTAATTAGTCCCTCCATCTCTGTGCTTCCTCTTCAAGTTCTTTTCTGTTTTCTGCCATCAACACCACATCGTCTGCAGACAGGAGAGCCCATGAAGGCTGTCGCTTGAGACCTTTCGTCACTGCATCCATGACTGTGATGAAGAGTAGAGAGAGCACCGATCCCTGATGCACGCCGCCCTTTATGCGGAATGGTTTTGACTGTCCCGCAGCAGTTTGCACATGGCTCGTGGCTCCGTGATAGATCATTTATATTCATTGGATGTATACTTTTGGAATCATGTGCTTTCGCAGTGCCCACCATATGACATCATGGGGTACCTTGTCGAAAGCTTTCTCCATATCGAGGAAAGCCGCATGCAGCTCTCTTCGTTTTTCTCTATGCTTCTCCATCACTATCCGTACAGCATGAATGGCATCAGCAATACCGGCACTTTTTACAAATCCGCATTGACTGGATGGCAACTCAACTCTTTCAAATATCTTCAGAGTGTGGCTCATCAGCCGGATTGGACGATACGTTGAACAATCCGCAATATTGCCTTCATTTTTCCATATCGGAATCGTTGTGCTCTTTGACCAATCATGGGGCATGCTTTTAGCTTTGATGACCTGATTGAAGAGGCCTGCAAGCCATGAGGCACCGAGCCATCCGCATTTTTCCCAGAATTCGCTTGGTATGTCATATGGACCAGAAGCCTTGCCCTTCTATGTCCTCGCTATAGCAAGCCATATTTCCTCTGCCGTTATGAGTGGTACTGGTCCTTTCACAGGGTCAGCTTTTGGGATAGCCGTGCCACTGCTGGTAGTAGACGATATTTCTTCAAAGAACGTTCGCCATCTTTCAGTTATTTCCTGTGGTCTTGTCAACGTTTTTCCAAGCTTATCCTTCACAAAAGAATTATAGTTCAATGATACTATAAAAATGAAAACGTCCCAACTCGCGGAAGCTTTTACTTCTAGAATTTGCGCGAACTTCTCACTACTTTCAGAGACACTACATCGGTGATTTTTTTCTTTTCCAACTTGAAGTTGCATATGTAGGTATATTTACAATTATTTTATAACGTTCATAGAACAGTGCTGTCTAAAGTGGTTTCTTTCCCCTCCTCTGGTTTTGCAAGCAAAATTTTAAAGTTATGTAGAAGCTCGTTATGATTGTGTTCTCGGGATTTTGAAGTGTGCTCAGGTTGAGTCAAGCAAAAAAACTTTTTCGAATGGGAATAAGTGTTATTTTGATTACCTGAATGGAACTTCTGTCTTTGATTGAGATGAT